GCCAATTCTTTTGATAAAGAGAAGGGCAACAATATTTCTTGTTTCCCTATCTTTTTGTGGATTTCGCAGCAAAGAAAATCTCCGTGTCTGTGTTTAATAGAAATCTACATTGCAAATGGCATATCGGAAACAAGAATGTGTTGTTGAATTGGTGTGTGTTGAAGCCTAGGGGAATTCCGGTTGCACCAGTGGTTTAGGAAAGGTTGGATATCTATTTGATGGTTTATTTTATTTTTTTTAGATTAAAGTGGGTGTCCGGGTCAGCTTATGCGCACCACGACTAATCCCACGGGCCCTGAAGTTAACGACCATGTAAGTCTCTAGTGGTCATTATATGAGCAACCAAGGACTCGAACCTGAGATCATGGAGGGAGCAAATTCTTTAGTCCTAAATTTTTACCACTTGACCACCACCTAGATGGTTTTGATGGTTTATTTATTTATTTTTATAAGAGGTTGTCATTTGAGGAGGGTTAAGATGAATGTACCCTTGAGTCTGTGATGAAAGCTTTACTGTGATGTAGGAAGCCACTTCGCATCATTTTGATACAGCAATAGAAGAGAGTAGAGGATTTGGGTTTAGACGTTCAATGTTGTTAGTTTTCGACTAAAAACATAAGCATATTCTCATGTATGATCGATCACTTACGCTGCTTTTGGTGATGCTCCACAAGGAAAATCCAAAATGTTTTCTTATCAAAGCAGTGAATGCATCATCACTTCAGCAAAGACTTCCCTTTTGCTTCCAAAAAATGATGTTAAGAGTTGCTGCTGCAAACTGCTTCTTTGCTCATTTTATTTTCAAAAATATTTTCATATTTGACTGTTTCTTGGACATGAAAGTGGAAATGAAGATATTTATGAAGAAGGGAATCTTATCTAACCGTGCATTTTTTTGCTCGTGTAAAAATTGGAAGCTGCTCTTCTTGGATTAAGTGCTGGCCTAGTGACTTGAGTTCTTTTTTATTTGCTTCCAATCATTGCATCCGTTTGATGACTGTGCTCCGCCAGAAAACATTTTTTCCATCTGGATAATTATTAACTTGTAGGCCTTTTCCTCTAACTTTGTAGAGACGCAAACTTGTAGACCAAGAACTAGAGACGGTACAGGTGGAGATGCCCGAGTACAAGAAACGGTCAGAGGCTGCTGAAGAGGAAAAAATAAAAGTTCTTAAGGAGCTGGACAGCGCTAAGAGACTTATTGAAGAGCTAAAGCTCAATCTGGAGAGGGCACAGACTGAAGAGCATCAGGCAAAACAAGATTCTGAGCTTGCCAAGCTCAGGGTGGAAGAAATGGAAAAGGGGATTGCTGATGAAGCTAGTGTTGCAGCCAAGGCACAACTTGAGGTTGCTAAAGCCAGGTATTCAGCTGCGGTGTCAGAACTAAAGACTGTCAATGATGAGTTGGAAGCACTGCACAAGGAATATGCTTCTTTGATCAGTGAGAAAGATGAAGCTGTTAAAAAAGCTGAAGATGCTGTTTCTGCATCCAAGGAAGTTGAGAAGACTGTAGAGGAACTCACAATCGAGCTGATTGCCACCAAGGAATCCTTGGAGTCTGCGCATGCTGCTCATATGGAAGCAGAGGAGCAAAGAATAGGAGCAACCATGGCCAAGGAGCAAGATTCTCTTCATTGGGAGAAGGAGTTAAAGCAAGCAGAAGAGGAGCTCCAACGACTTAACCAACAAATTCTTTCAGCAAAGGATCTCAAATCAAAACTAAACACTGCTTCAGCTTTGCTAGTTGATTTGAAAGCTGAACTAGCAGCTTATATGGAATCTAAAACAAAGGAGGGAACTGAAGGAAAACCAAAAGCTGAGCAACAAGAACCAGAGAAAACAACTCACACCGACATACAAGCAGCAGTTGCTTCAGCAAAGAAGGAACTGGAAGAAGTAAAGCTCAACATTGAGAAAGCAGCTGCAGAAGTAAATTGCTTGAAGGTGGCTGCCATATCGTTACAAACAGAGCTGGAAAAAGAAAAATCATTGTTTTCTGCAATTAAGCAGAGAGAAGGAATGGCCTCAGTAACAGTTGCTGCTCTTCAGGCTGAGCTGAACAGGACTAGGTCAGAAATCGCCCTGGTTCAGATGGAAGAGAAAGAAACCAGGGAAAAGACAGTTGAGATTCCCAAGCAACTGCAACTAGCAGCGGAAGCAGCAGATGAGGCCAAGTCACTCGCTCAAAAGGCTCATGAAGAGCTACGCAAAGCGAAGGAAGAAGCAGAACAAGCAAAAGCTGGTGCAAGTACGATGGAGAGTAGATTGCTTGCAGCTCAAAAGGAAATAGAAGCTGCCAGAGCCTCTGAAAAATTGGCTTTAGCAGCGATCAAAGCTTTGGAAGAGAGTGAATCAGCTCAAAGCACCGATAATGTGGATTTACCTACCAGTGTAACACTCTCTCTAGAAGAGTACTATGAGCTCAGCAAGCGTTCCCATGAAGCAGAGGAGCAGGCCAGCCTGAGGGTAGCAACTGCTATTTCGCAGATCGAAGTAGCCAAGGAATCAGAGTCAAGAACCGCCGAGAAGTTGGAACGAGTGAATCAAGAGTTGACTGCGAGAAAGGAAGCTCTGAAAATTGCGTTGGATAAGGCTGAGCAGGCGAAGGAAGGGAAGTTGGGTGTAGAACAGGAGCTGAGAAAGTGGAGGGCTGAGAATGAGCAACGACGTAGGGCTAGTAATTCTGGTCTGGGAGCTGCAAACCTCAATAAAAGCCCAAGGGAAAGCTTCGAGGTCAGGAAAGAATCAAAGAGTGTTGATCGTGTACTGGATGCCGCCGTGGATTATGTTTCAAATCCAAAATCAAATGTACCTGGAAGTAACGCTGGAACCGATTCCTCTCCAGAAGTAAAGACTCCAAGGAAGAAGAAGAAATCGCTGTTCCCGCGATTTTTATTGTTTTTAGCGAGGAAAAAGTCACATCCTTCCAAGACAGGATAACTTCTTGCTGAAAACAGATGCACTGTCCTTCTTGTCATGATTTACCTCTCTTCACTGGGTATTTTTTTTCACATTGATCGGAAAAGATGAGAGTTCTTAGTTCAATGTAAATGTTATGTGATTGATTGTGCATTACAAGTTCATTGGTTTATATTTTTGTCTCACCGATTCATGATATTCATGTAGGCTTTTGGACTTTCGACCATCGAATCGAATCATTGTAAAGGTGTGAGATTGGTTTAATCAAAGAATTTTGTCAACTTGTACGTTTGGTGATAAACAAGATTGGATTTTTCCCCCGTGGGTATGAAATTGCACTATCGCTGCCGGATCTAAGCAGCAGCATCTTTCAATTTCTTATTAATATGTTAAGAACAAAACCAGGTCTTCTCCTTCACGACAATAGCTCAGTGGGTAAAGCAAGGACGGTGGTGCGTTGACGCAATGCTTAGGTTGCTGTTCGAATCCCCGCAGGTCGGAAATGTTCTGGTTTTTCTTTTCCTTATCTGTATTAATCGACGACACCATTCGCCAAATTCAGTACCTGTACTTTCGGTAGGGGGGAAAAAAACACAAAATTGAGTTCCTAGATTTTAAATTTTTGTATTTGAGTTCTTGCACATCTAAATGGTAAGATACACTGTGCATATTGACAATAATTGTGTGGATAAAATTAATGAACTGTAATTTAACTAATATTAATACCCTCCTTTAAAAAAAAAATAATTCAAGCTTAAATCTTTTATTATAATAAAAAAAATATACAATCACGTGGATAAAAGTCAAATCAAAATACATGGTGATAATCAAATAATTTGGTATTAATGAATATTATAGTTAGCTTCTTTTAGATTGAATCTTTATGGTATTAACAAAAGGCTATCAATTAATTTATATTTGTTTCTATTTCCAAACAAAAATAGGTTTTTTAGTCATATGGAGTATATGCATTGAGATACTTTTATTATATGTGTGTGTGTGTGTGTGTTATTTTTTATTGGCTCAAGTTCATTTGATAAATTAATTTAACTGTTATTTGTACCGTTTGTTTTGAAATAATAAACTCTTACCAGCAGTTAAAGTAATACTTTTGCGGGTGCAGGAAAAATAATCAAAAGTTTTTATAATCAAGGGTTCCTGTTTTCATTATAAAGCTTCGTATCTTTCGGACTAGCTAGCAGGCCGAACATGAGCTCTCATAAAGCCCAATAACTAATGACCGGGCTTCCTAACCTTTTCAATAGAAGGATGCTTGTACTCTGTCTCGGTGGATAGCGAGGGCCTCACATTTCAGAAAGTTGTCGTTTTATGGAGGATCTGCCACCGTTTCACCTGAGGGTGTGATCAGCAAAACACAGAGATTACTCTAAATTATTATGATTTAGAGTTACATCAAATCAAATGAATATGAAAATTACCTTTCTAAATAGGAATTTATAATAAGTTTATGTAAATCAATCAAAGAGGGTTAAAGAAACGGAGCACATGGTGCGTGAATTTAAAAAATTAATATACGTACTTAAATATATTTCCAAACAATAGTATTTTAAGTTTAATGGCATTATTATTTTCTTTAAATTTAAAAAAATATTTTCATCAATTTATTTATATTAATTATAATGAAAACAAGTTTATATTTATAATTCTATCTTGGTTTATAAAATTAAAAAAATTCATTTTAATAATCTTGAGATACAAAACCCTACTTAATATTTTATCTTGTTATTTCCTACATAAAACAACGTTACAATATAATTTCATAACCACACAGGTACCCTTAGACTCACCCTAATTAATTTTAACATTTCTTAGACTAATGATTTCATAATATATACTTAGGGTCACTCTTAACAACTTCATGTCAGTGCCATAATAATTCAATAATTCCTAATTCAATTAAATATATGAAAATAATATAATTATATACATTACAATAATATATTACAAATTCCTTAAAGAGTACCAAAATAACATTTTGGAGTTTTTACATCAAACTTAAAAAAAAAAAAAAAAAGATTACAACATCTCATATATAATATTTATACTTATAAAAAAACTAGTAAATAACATGAAAAAATTCTAATATTATAGGTAATATAATTTATACATTTGATTGTTTATATTTACAATCACTTAATGACTTATTTCAGCACTAGTTTTAACCCCGAGACGGGTTTTGTGAAACTCGCATCTGTGAAAAGAATTCCCGCAACTCCGGCCGTGGCAAAGCGAGCGAGCACGGACCAACTCTGCCTTCACATACCATTTTCCGGATCCTCTCCAAGGCCAAGTGGGTCAAACCCAAAATCTCCTGCCAAACTAAACTTAGAGAAACAGAGCAAGATAAGCAAAACATAAACAACAAACAGAAATTTTCAAGTTCAGGTCGAGAATTAGACAGAGCACAGTGAGCGGCTCACGTTCCATCAAGATATGGTGGAGGATCAAGCCCAGGAAGCCATGTGGGTCGCTGTTGGGCAAGGAGTGCTTCCTGGTTTGGCGGGCAAAACACATCTTCTGCACCATATGATGACTTATTTATGTTCTTAGACAAGGAGCATAACGAAGAAGAAAAACATGGCTGAATAAGGAAAGCTCTACCCGTTGCAACAGCCATTTTCTCCTCTCCCTCTCCCTATACAAGCGAGTGGTTAGCGAAGGCATCCATCATAGCTACGTATACAACTACCATCCAAAATAAGAACTCATCCATACGAAGACAACATGGTCCCACAAACTCCCACTAAATTTATGATGGCCAGTCAAACAGCCAGGGAGGATGCCGGGCAGCCTAACTTCACAACAACAAGCAGGAGGGGGAAAAGGAACAAGAAATCACGACAGCACTCCAACCCGCTGAAGACAGGAATTTCGGATTCAATGAGAAGCAATACAACAAGATAGGAAACATCAAAATACTAGCAATTTGACGTAAAACTCCAAATACAGTGTAATTAGATATCATTCTTCCTGGAAGATAAATCCAAACATACCTAGTTAATCAAAAATTAAAAAATACAATTCAGAAATTTTAGAAAAGCATTTCCGACACCGAGAGAGTGATCAACTGGGGAGCAATATTCAGCAATCAGCGCCTGCTGGATATGCTGAATGAGCTGACTTTCATGGGGGTTGCAATCACCAGTGGAGCCTCAGGAGAATCACTGACTGCAAACTTGTCATGCATGAAACGGCTATCAACAATGGAGTCATCCTTAAGGACTACCTTGTAGCAGTAACAGCTCTTCAAGCCCTCTTGATTACGATAGCACTCATGGGAACCGTTCTTTACCTGCTGGAAGTTCCATATCGCACTAAACTTGCCAGCTGTTGCAACCAAATGGCGCTCCTGCTTCCCATTCTCTGTGACCTGCCAAAGTTTTTTACTCACATAATGTTAAAATTATCATGCATAGACCATCACAGCAGACACTTCAGGTGATATGCAAGTACAGTAGGGGAAAAGGAACTACGCAATAGAAATCACAGCCCCACTATTTCGTTTGACTAAAGCAAGAGCGTCTATTGACAAATATTAAAATGGATTGTCACGAAGTATATCGTTTCACAACCAAGTATATGTTGTTAATGCTTATTATGCAATTTTAGACGTGTAAGGTTCATCTGAACAAGTTTCAGTGCCATGCATCATCATTGTGATTGCTGGAATATGACCATGGTCTTTCACTGGCGTAGGTCTCTATGAAACTTGATTGATGAACAGCTTTTTTCCACTCCATAATACTTAGCTTCCAACTAAGGCTTCAGCGTCAAGGTCTAGGAAAAAATAAATTTCTAAATTTTGTTTTTGGTGAAGTTCATCAAGCACCCAAAACTGGGTGAAATTTTTATATTTTTTAATGGGAAACATACAAGTTGGGCACAGAGCATTGCTTGAAGGATTCGACACTATCAAGGATATATTAAAGAGATGACCTTAGCAAAACAATCAGGAAATAGCTGTCATGAATCTAAAGCTCATGCAACAAGAAAAATTCATAGCAAAAAACCAACTAATCCCAGAACAAATTCAAATCCTCATGAATTAAGTGACTTGAACAAGTGTGCAATACTTAAGCCTAAAAGGATCATTCCTATACCCTTTTAACAGAAAGAGATCACATAGAACAATATTTCATCTACAAACAAAGGTGAAGCCACACACTGCCGGACACTTCTTACTTCTAGAATCTAAAAATATGCATGGTTATAGACGTTCTTAAATGCAACGGGTATTGTATAATTCCTTCAAAATGGTCCTGCTAGAACACTGTTTTTCTATGTTATAGATAAAAAAAAAAAAAAAGGGTTAGTAAGAAATCGTGTAGGAGGAGCCTGGGAGGAGCCCTACCTGAAATACATGCTAACTAAAACCATTTTCCACCTCCCTAAAACTTTCTGAAGAAGCAAAAAAACATTAAAGCAACAACTCCATTGAAGTTTCTGCTAAATCTCACATTTGTCACTAATGCAACAAATCCATAACATATCACGCGGAGAAGGAAAACAATTAGTAAAATGGAGAACAAACCAAAATAAGGCAAATAAAATTAACATCTATTTTCATTATGCTTATCCACAAAATTCTGCCCTAGGAACCTACAGAGCTTGGCATTTAAAGCAAATGAATTCACATGTTGAATTGTCTAGGCATTGATAAAAAGATCAAGGGAAAAAAAAGAATTCAATTATGTCCAAGTATCACCAATAACTTATGCATCTCATGGTCATGGTAGGATTGCATACATATCATATGCATTAAACAGAAGATGCACCACAAGAATTGACAACTCAATATGAAAAGGGATACAAGTCTACTTACCCAAGAGAACTGAGCCTTTTGGAACTTGTTATTAACTCCAGCTAGATGTGAATCCAGAGGAGTCAGCTTCAACAATCTCGGAGCTGCAATCCTGTTACCCATACGACCATTAAAACCAGTCTTCATCTTACCATCCTTGTCTGTGAAAAGAGTGCAGATAAGGATCAAATATGCATCGGTGGTGCCCAATATCCACTTCCCATCAAAGGTAACATCAACATGAGTAATAGGTGATCCCAGGCCAGGAAAAGCTGTTTTTGCCTGCCGCATCGAATTGCCTGAATACAATCGAATCTTTCCATCACGAGACCCAACAACAATTGATCCATCACCTGTGCTAGCAAAGCACTGGAAGTTAGTCCCTCTTGAAAACTGATGTCCTTGAGTCCAATTCAGAACAGGAGTATTACTTGCAGCAAGATTTTGAACAATACCATGCCGGTCACGCATATCCCACCTGCAAAGCCTATTGTCATCCAATCCCAAAAATGTAGATCCTGACGGATCCAACTGTGCTCCCTTGCTATCATTTGCAATATCCCTCATGGTAATATCAGTTCCATCCTTTTCAAACCTCCACTCAGTAATAATCTTCCCTGTCTCTATATCAAGTTGATGCAAACCAGTAGAATGCAATTTCCCTTCATTCATCGGACTCATAAGCAACATATTAGTCTCAGCCCGCATAAGAAGTGCCTTTTTAGGAGTCGAATGCACCAAATTCGAAGAACTCCTATGATTCCCACTTCCAAAATTGACATAAGCACCTTTTCCATAAATCCCGTGGCTAAAGTTCTTAACGACCTGAATCCCTGAACTACCCACCAAGAAACTGTTATCCAGCGCACCCAATGCCAAGCTCTGTATCCCTCCATTGGCTGCCTCCTCAAATTCCTCTTGCAGATCTCGATTTCCCCTCACAGGGGTCACAGATCCAGGGCTTTTCAAGAAATCATCCTCTGCATCCTCCCACATAGAATCATCTGCCTTTTCCGGGTTCGCCCACCCAACAAAATCCTTCCCGTAAACCTTAACCTTGTTTGCTTCATTGGACTCGTACCCAAAAGTATTCTCAAACAAACATTCCTGGTACTTGCTATTAAAAACCTTATAATCTTCATCACTAAAAAACTTTATAGCCCAAACACCGTCAGCAACAAAATCAACGCGGCGCTGTTCCTTTAATGTTTTCAATTGCATCTCAACAGCGACTTTCGCTCTAATTTTTGTACTAACCTTCAAAACCCACCAAGAAACTCCTTCAGATTCTGACTCCGAGTCCTCCTCTTCATCTTGACCATTAATTTTTGAGGTCTTGATGAAAGAATAAGAAGTCAACTTATCTGAAGTAACCCATTTGGCTTTTGGGGTGTTACCGCCGATATGAAGGTAAAGTTTGACACCATTTTTAAAATTAGAGTTAGGACTCTGCTGAGTTCGGGTTGTTGTTGAGGGGTATTTGAGTTTTAGGGCTTTAAGCTTGGATTCGACTTCATCAAGAGAAGATGGGGTTTTGGGTCTGTTTCTTCCTGTGGAAGATGATTTTTCTGGGGTTTCATTGCTGACATCTTGGTAGTTTTCTTCTTCTTCCGTTTCTTCTTCTTGTTGGCTCTCTGTGTCCGAGTCTGAGAGCTCCAGATCTTCACGGCTTTGAGAGCCCCCCATTTTCGATTCTTACAGAGGAATTAGAGTTTAGGTTTTTTTGAAAGAGCACGAGAGAGGGATTGGTTAGAGCGCCAAGCTCTAAATTTGAAATTGGAGCTGCTTCAGGTTTGGCTTCTTATAGGGATTTACTTTTAGTCATTTTTTTCATCATGCTTCGTTGATTAAAAAATTACAGGAACTTTATAAATGCAAGAGAAATTAAAAAAAATCTAATTTTTTTATAAAATTATCATTATATTTTAATTAATATTAAAATACTCTTACAGTATCAAAATTACAAAACTGTGTTAAAAAAACTCCTCGAAATTCATAACCCAATCCCAATAAATCTCCTTTCAGAATAATTTTCCCAACAAGTCAGATCTTACAAAAACTAAATGAGATGAAATTCAGTGAACAAATGACAGATCTCGCTTTCCTTTTCTTATCTGGAACCCCCCTAAAAGTACCACCTTTCCAATTTCACAAACCCTAAAATCATCAAATTTAGGCGCTCATTAAGACTTTAAAACTGCTGAAATGTCTCCGGCAAAAAAGAGGAAAGTCACTTCTTTCCAACATGACATCATGTCAGAGCTTGGAAAGCTAGGAATGACATATGAAAAGAGGCTCAATTTAGGTAGATAATTGAATTCTGCGTTGGGAGAAATGCATGACATTATGCCAAAGCCTGGAAAGCTGGTAGAGAATTAGAGTTTTTGCTGGGAGAAATGCATGTAAATATAATTGATTCCTTGAGGGAACATTGTTTAAGCGGGAGGGATAGTGGAGAGGAGGAAATTGATATACATATTGATGAACTCAATGATGACACCTTCTTCACATTATGAAAGCTCTGAATATTTGCAAGAAAAATAAAAAAATCGAATCATTATCCAAAAACACTAAAAAAAAATAAAAAAATTTCAAATAAAAAAATTTAAAAAATCACAAAACTCTATTTCATCTGGAAAAACAAGCAGCAGAAAGTTAACCAAAATTCTCCTAGTGCATTAAATGTGTGCGACAACAATTGTCTATTTTTAGTCAGAGTTGTTAAACGAATTTCAGAAACCTTGTGAAAGAGAGGAATCTTACATTAGAAACTTTTGTTCAGTTGATTATGGTGGGCTGTGTGTTTAGGAAATGACTTGGCCGATGGGGATATTGACATTGGTTTAATGGCCCTTCTATCTGAAGTCATCAACATGATGGTCTTGCCGGGGAACATAATGGGATGGTCGGGTGGGGGGATCTGAGAAGGAAGTTTGGGAATTTAGGGTTAGCGTTAGGATTTATAAATTAAGGATGACAGTTTATGGATGTTTGTGTTATATTATATAAGAGTACATTTATTTTTTCATTAAAATTTATAATTTAAGGATGACAGTTTATGGATGTTTGTGTTAGCTAAGCTCATCTTGTTGTTCTGTCTGTGATTGATGGATGAATCACAATGTGAATGCTGAAGCATTGCATACACGTCTATTTACTACTCCTGCCTCGTATAACTGTGAAAACAGAAGAAATGAAGCAGAGACACCTTAAGATCATGCAAAAATTAATTCTTCGTTGTCCACAACGAATTATTCTTGTAAGCAGTTTGATACATATGTAGCTACGGTATCCTGGTATTTACTGTTTTACCCACACACAATAATCTGCTCCAGATGCAGCAACCTGGAAGTTTGAGGGAATAAGGTTTCCAAGATCCATCTTAGGTCCAATCTTCATGATCACGTTACCATCGATTGCTGCCACATAAAGATCAGCATCAGAGGCTAAAATATTCACAGTGCTTGCAGAACCAATCCCAGAAGTTCTCCTAATTGTTGTCAATTTGCCAATTTCTGTCTTTAGGCCCCAGTCAAAAAAGTGATCATAAAACTGCAAAACATAGAAAGCTTCTGTAGTTAGGAATATTATATGTGAGTTTCCTAATATATTAAACGGCGAAAAGAGGAGAAGAGTTTACAAAAACTGGCAGATGACATGCTAAAGAGCATGATAGTAGTATTATTGCACGGACAAACAAATTGAAAAAAGGGAGATGAAGTTACAATGGATGGGGTCCCAGGATGAGTGAGAATGTAGGCATATCCCTGCATGACTTTATCTGATGGAAATGGCCAAAGCTTTTGAGTAGACCCGGTGTCATGATTGTCAATGAAAGTCACAGCATTTTGTGGCAACAGGCCAATCAATCCTGGTGGCTTTCCATTTGAGTCCTTCAACCTCCATAACTCTCCTTGGACAGCAGCTTGAAGTATCCCTTTTGTTGTAAAATCAAATGCTGTGACAGCACCACCAGCTGCTTGAATCCAATCTTTTAGTCCACCACGGTGCGCATCCTGGTTATAGACAGGCTTTCCATCCTGGCCATAAGCAAGAGAGTCCCATTTTTCACCAACTGCAAAATCTGGTGAAGTATTTTTCATATAAATTTTGGTAATGCTAGGAGCATATCCCCTAACAAAGTCGAATCGCCATCCATCAAATCCTATTTCAGACTTTAACCAGTTCATCCAATCTGATAACTCCTTCTGAACTCTAGGATTGAGGTGGTCAATATCAGGGGCACCTCCAAAGTCACCTCCTGTATCAGGATTTCCTTTGCCATCAGAATAGGCAGTGTCATCACTGCAAATGAGGGACGGCCCCCAGTCAAGGCGATCATCAGAAGTTCCACCTTCAAAAATGCACCATATTCCTCTCCCATCTTGCTTCTCAGCAGTTCTATGGTTTATGACAATGTCTGCCAGGCATTTAATTCCCTTCTGATGGAAAGCCCCAATTAGTGATTTCAATTCACCCTGAGATCCATATTTTGATGCACTCAGATCATAAAGCCTGCCTGGCATATATCCTAGAAGAAATTTAAGTAGAGGGTGTATTATGTCTTCTGAAAAGGAATTCAAAGATCAAATAAAGAATACCAAATGGTCACTTTCTGTCAGGTTTTTTTGTTTTTAAACATAACTCGGATGTTCTTCGTTATTAATTGTAAATCACATGCTTATTCAAATTAAATGCAATAACTAAACACCTCTTGCCATCGAAGTTACTATTCAGGTAAGTAAATAGCATCAGAGACAAAATTTCTACCTTGTAACAGAGAACACATGAGAACCAATTAATAAAGAAATGATACTTAAAATGAACAATTATTCATAAAGTACCTTGCGGTGCAACTGACTGAGAGGCTGGAGGAAGCCAGACATGAGTAATTCCAGCATTAGCCAAATCAGGAACTAAGTTCTTTAGTGTGTTGTACCATCCTCCTGCCTGATTACATGACTCCCAGTTGAACCCCTGTCACACGATCACCAAACCCATGAACAATTAAATTTACATGTACAAAATCGATTAGGATTTGAGAGGGATAAGATTGGGTGGTTCATGCCTTACCTGAAATAACAAAGCAGAGGAAGTGAACAAAGGGAAAACTGAGAGGAAGAGAGAGAAGAAGCAGAAAGTGAGAAATCTCATTCTGTTTGTTATGTTTAGGGTGATGGATTTTGATGCTGTCTCTTTTTATAGGTCTCATTGGCGTGTTGGTGCTGTAAGAATCCAAAGGGGAAACCAAGTTGTCCATGATAACTCGTGAAAGTCATAGTCAATCAATGCTAGAAGTCGTTGCTAATTGATGGCCTAATTGATTTTGACTAAGTGGACGACTCTAGAGATGACAGAATTTTTCTTTATTGGATTCGAGCACTGTTGATGTTAGGCACTTGGACTCCTAAACTAGCCAACCCAGCATCCGCATAACAGAAGCAACGATGGATAATTCAGGAAACAGCAGAATTAATTGATGGGATAGATTTAACAAAGGAGGGAGCGTAAGTTATTGAAGGGCAAAGACATGAATTCTAAGGTGTGTGCGCTTATGTAAACTAAAAGCAGCGGAGGCCATAACTGAAATAGTAACGTAGAAGAAGATAAGAAGGGGCGAGAGGTCTGAAAAGACAGAAAAAGCTCATCTTTTTTATAGTTATCATCACTGCACTAGCCGGTTTGTGCTCGAGCGCGTTCACAGATGAATGAGAGTGCATAGGTATTCATGGTTGGTTTCAATTTTTCCAACCCCGTATTCTTCTCTCTCTCTTAAATTTGCTAGCTACCTGTGGTAGTCTTTAGAGTAGGCATTAATCATGGTTTAGATAGTTTTTAACACGTGATTTGTTCGAATCAGTGTTTAGTGGATCATATGCATTTGATGTTGTTTCTGTATCTTTTACACAATATATGAATCTACCGTTAGCAATAGGAACGTAATATATGAATCTACTGTTAGTAATAGGAACGTAAAAGACTGGTTTAAACTGATCGTTTTTTTTTTAAAAAAAAAAGTTAAATTAAAAGACTGGTTTAAACTGATCGTTTTTTAAAAAAAAAATTTAACTAAAAATAATTTAAAACAAAAAAAATAAAAAACACGATTTGACGATTTTTATAATTTGAAATGGTAATGCCAGTTATCGAAAATGAAATGTGAACGGGATGGGATGGGATGGGATGGGATGTATGTGGATGCGATGACGTAAGAGAAATGGCGGATTTCAAGTGTAAAAAGAGTTTTGCTAGCATTTCGCTTAAAGCCGGCCACACGCCCTCATTGTGGAAGGAAGACAGGAGGATAGGAAAAGAACCGTGAGGCGTACAAGGCACGAAGTGCTAGCGAAGATAATTAACCATGTACTAAAAGACGGGCTTTCACACCCAAAACGCTAATTGTCTGAGCTTCTTTTTTTTTCACTTCAAGTCCCTGAAAATCTTACAGTTGTCAACTTTAGTCATTAAAACTTCTTTCCCTTTCAATTAAGTCCTTCTAAGTTCTGTTTTCAGTGCTTTTATGCACTCAAAACAGTTGAAAGATGAAGGACCAGAGTTGATATCCAGGAAGAAAAGGAGCCCTCCAACACAAAGGGCACACAAAATTGTAATTTGGTCCTTAAAATTTGAATGTTGTCATAAGTTGTCCCTATCCTTTTAGTTTAGTGTGTTTAGGTCCTTAATTTCTTTTTTATTCATTTTAATCCCTAATTTTTGAGAGAAGAAAAAAAAAGCCATAAAAAATGATAAAAGAAAAGGAAAGTTGTCAATTAACCATAATCCAATAACAAAAGATATCAATCTTGGTATCATTAGGTTTCTCTTGATAGGAAAAGTTTTATTGAGGTATTTGTTTACTTTTATCTTCCCAAAAAAGTAAATCAAGGTTTGGCAAAAAAATTATTTTGTTTAATTTTGGATTTTTAACTGATTTAGGATGATTTGATGTCTAAAACTGGCTTATTTATATGTTTAGAATGTGCTTATTTATATGCTTAGAATGTGTGTAGGTATTGTCAAGTGAGAAATACAATTAAAAAATAAATTTTTAGGGTTTCAAAACTTGAAATCTAATTTTTCAATCATTTCTAGTGGTTGAAATCTTTATTTGTTAATAACACATTGTTTATTATAAAAAATGACACATCATCATTAACTTTTTTTTTAAAAAAAATTAACAACGTTTCATGTATCCTATTTTTTTAACCAAAATAAAAATGTTGGGTGAGCAAACCTCGTCTTGTAGGCCTATACATACCCAAGCTTTGTTTTCCAGCTAGGTTTATGAGTCCAACCTTTCAAGTCCATGTGATTGATTATTTTTTTTAATTTAACCATTTATCTTTTATTAAATTTTAATTAGAATCTAATTATAAATAAAATAATTAAAATTATGCTTAAAATACTTTTCATTAAATACCATTTAGTTTGTTTTTGTTTTCAAATAAGATTATAGCAATTTTTTAATAATATTACTAATTATTTTATTAATTATTATATATAAATATAATATGCAAATTCTTTTTAAATTTTTTATATTGAATATTCAATAAAAATAAAAAAAATTATCAAGATATTTTTTTAATTATAAATTCATTACCAAATTTTCTCAAATTATTTATTATAAATTCATTACCAAATTTTCTCAAAAAAAAAATTTTCTTCAATTGTATACAAAATTTCAAGACATGATTTCAAATATTTTGTAATTGTAACATGCATTTAAGATCATTATAGGTTTTTTATTTTAAAAACAATGCTTTTTATAAATAAATAATATTTTTGTTAAAAAAAAATACATTGATAAGGAAATGTTGTTTAGGTTGAAGAGATAATTTGTTACTTGTGTTAAGCTATTAAAATTGTTACAAAAAATAATTTTAATTGCTTTTACTCTTAATTAGAAAAACAAGCTACTGATAAAAAAATATTCTAGTAAAAGAATTACATGAATAAAAAAATAATTGTTCGTTTAATAAAATATATATATTTTTAAAATAATTTAAATAGTAGCTTTTCTTAAAAATATTTATTTTAATTGTAAGAGACCGTTGTTAAAATATATTTAAAAAATTACCCAGCACAATCATGGATAAAATGAATGGAACAATAGCAATAAACTATTTGCATAGGCATCTATTTTTTGCATCTTAAAAAAAAAGATCAATTTTTTATTTTAGTCTTGAATTGACAATAACAACTTTTCTTGCTATTTATTCATATAATTTTTAATTTTTAATTCATTTTATTAGACGTGGATATTGTCTTTTCATCACTTAATTATACCAAAACATGTATTTATTTATAAAATCAGCACCTTCTTTGTGTAAGAAATCAATTTGAAGGGTGTGTTTGTTGATATGATTATGCCGTGCTTTTTAAAAAAATTATTTTTTTAATTAAAATTTTTAGTATTTTTTAATTATTTTGATATACTAATATTAAAAATAAATTAATAAAAAATATTATTTTAATATATTTTAAAATAAAAAAATATTTTTAACGTGGGTTACCTTGTTGGTTAAACCAAACAAGCCACGCAAGAGCCCCAAAATTTGCTGAAAAGCAAGACCCCCCCAGCGTGTACTCATGGGAAATTGGTAACTATTGGTTGGGTAGTGGCTTTTGAGAGTTCAGACTTCAGAATTTGTTGATTTGCTCTTCCAAAGACAACTAATCAGACCGATAAAGAATGCGGTCAGCCTGTATGCTCAGAGAGGGAGTTAAGGACGACTATCCGGTCGCTGATGAGAAGCGTATCAAAGCCCTACCAGGCCCTTCAAAAGTTTGGCAATCCCTCCCCCGCCCCCCACGGATTCTAAATTAGTTCAGCCAGTCGAGAGATTTTCCTCTTTCGATATGTAGAATAGAACCAACAATTACCAAACAGCAAAACTGAGGCAGCCAGGAAGCTTGTACTAGATGCTTTCAAGTAGCAAAAATGCAGCACCCGCTAAATTTTCCAAATCCTCCCATTTAAGACCCACTCACCCCTTGTCCGGAGCACAGGCTCCGAGTTAAATGCCCCACAGATGAGACAGAGACAACTATGATCAGCACATCCATCACTGCATTTCTTTATATTTTCTCTCAAACATAGCGTTGTCCATCAGAAACTCACTCAATAACGTTTATTGGACACCAGAAGCAACTAGGCAAGCATTGATTTAACTCTCCCCTAGTCCCTGTCCCAGGTCCAAAAGTTCAAGGTAGTAGCTCCTAGCTCCTACTAAGGAGACCAGTAACAAAAGTTCAAGGTGACAAACATTTCAATGTGGTTCACAGGAATATGCATATGATTAGATAATAAATTATGCAACTTAGGAGTGAACTTCAAGACACAGATGCGATACGAACAAATTAATGATTGCACAATCTAATGGTTTAGTCCGAGAGACTAGAAGGACATGCAAATTGATCAACAGAGAGGATTCTGGAGCTATTTATAGATTGCTATAGACTTACTGCCTCCAATCTAGTCCCCATATTACATGACAAAAAAGAAAAAGAAAAAAACAATTTATGAATTCATCAACAATAACAGATGTTGATGGACAGCTTTCAAACAGTTCTACACTCCTGGTACTAGCTCACAGCTTTGCAGGCTTCGGGAAGATATCGGGAGTGAATTTCTGCGCAGCACTCAAACTGCCCTTGATCTTCAAAGCACCCCTGCTTACATCAAATGAAGGAGGCAAATAAAAAACAAGCAGCAAATTGAATTAAGGCAGGATAGAATAAAACAGCTAAAGTTCCCACCTCATGAAAGCAATCTGGGGATTCAACTTTCCATTAGCAAGCTTTATAAAATCTTCGTCCTTCAAGGAAAATGTGGCATCAGGTTTCCCTCCTTCGTATTGCCCTAAATTTCAAAAATCTTGCACAATCAACAATTACACTAGTTCAACAAAAAGGACAATTGTGTGTGCGCGAGCGCGAGTAAGAGAGAAAAATTCTAGTATCTAATGCATTGTATGATTGATCTCACCCAAAAACAAAGCGTATCAGAAGAAAGTCAAGATCTTGTAGTTCTCACCTAGCAGAAACCTCAGAATACTAGAAAGCGAAAATGCTTCCATCACCATGCTTTTATACATCAGTTGTTCATACACCATCTACTATCAGTCCTGGTTGCAGTAGAGGGACCAGTATACTAATTCAACATACTAAAGATCCTCTCCTTTCATCAACCAATTTTTTTTTTTAAAAAAAGTTTTTTTTAGTTGATCTCCGGTTGTACAGGTCATGAAATAAGAAATAGGGCCAAAAACATATTGGAACCTCCCATTTTATTTATTTGCAAGACGTAGCTTTGTGTGTGTACCAAAATTCCAATCGGATAGCAGAAGAAAAGCAAACTTAATGGAAAAACCACTACCTTTGATGACCTCGCCTTTCTTGAGATCAATAGTGTAAATCACCTCATCAATCCCAATTTTCTAAAACACAAACCCATAAGAAAATCACCATAAAACGAAAAGAAAACAATCTAAACATACACAATCAATCATAGAAAAAAAGGGGGGGTTACCTTGGGGGAGATATTGAATTGATAGACAAGGTTAACCTTATTTTTGACAGCAATACCTTCTTCGGTCCCAAGGAACCTCTTCAAAAGCTCAAAAATGGCGTCTGACTTTAGCTCTGTAGTAGCCATTGCCAATATGTTATGTTGCTGCTTTGATAGATTGATAAATATATAGAATTTAGTTTTGTGGGTTATTATCTTGTTTCAAAGAATTAGATGGGGTTGGGGTCGACGGATTTTGCTTATGGTAGTTTGATCGAGGTAGATGATGAGATAATGAGGTGGAGGAGGAGGTCACGGTGGAACACGCATCCCAACACCCTGTTTGTTTTTTCTTATGCTTTACTATTTTCTTAATTTATTTCCCGTCACGACGTGTTTCCTGTCCTTCACCTTCGGGAACCTCTTTCCTCAACTTGGTTGGTTGATTTTCCTTCCTTCTAATTTAGGTCGACCTCAATTTAATCCCTAATCAATATATTCTTTTTTCTATGGGATCCTGATCCTATAAATTTTATCAATTTGACTTCAAATATTTCAGGAAATTCTAAATTGTCCTTTTCCATTAACTTCGACCACACTTTCTTCGGATTGATATCTTTTTATTGCATGAAGTATGCTCATTATTCAAATAATATTAATAAAAACTGAAGACTAGACTCCATTGAGAAATGTAGATAATATTTGGAACCTAACTGATAATGCTTGTAAGTTTAGGACCTAATTGAAAATATATATACAATTGAGGAATTAAAAACAAGGTTTACCTTACCTTACAAGGTCGGTTTCTTCAATTGTCTTACCGACACAAACTAGTATGGTTTTGTAATTGAGGTCGAGGTGTTGATTAATATTGTAGTTTAATTGTATTTTTAAAATTTTTAATAAAAAAATTATTTTATATATATATATATTTTTAATCATTTTTAAATGATGATATTGAAAATAAATTTTAAAAATAAAAAATATTATTTTAATATATATTTTTTTTAAAAAATTACCACAATCCTAAACATTCACATTATAGGAATCTTAAACAAATATTTTTCAGTTCGTCTAAGATCAGGAAAGTAAGCAGACTCTTTTTTTTTTTTTTAAGGTTAATAAACCTAAGCAGGAAATTAACTTTGCAGTACCAGTGAGAACTGATACGCATTTACTTGACCATTAGAGTCTCTCGGTGGATCCAAAACCTCATTTTTTATCCATGCCAGAACAGAAGGAGAATCCATTGTTGTGCACTTGTGCCGCTAGAGCCACCGCTGGGCTCTAGGTTTTACGCATTATAGAGCCTGCTTCTAGCCGCAGTGGTCTCAGCCCCTTCTTCCTTTATTTCAATGTTGCGGTGTTCATTGCCGTTACAGTTACATTACAATTATAAAATAAATTATGAAAAAGAGTTGTTTTATAATTGCAGTTATTTTTAATCTTCTAAAAACTTCCCCGTGGGTTCTGGGAGCAGTCCACAGTGATTTATTTTCCCCTGTTTAGTTCTTGAAAAATATTTTCTACTATAAAAATTTAAAATTTTTTCTTTCTATTTCAATCGCATGGGTTGTTGTAGTGTAATCCATAGGGATCCTCTTCTTTTTTTTCATTTTATTCCTTGAAAAAAAAATACTAAACATGGATTTTAAACTTTATTTCTTTTCAATTTTGTCCTCCCACTTTAACACTTTGTAATGTTTTTAGGATTTAAAATTTGATTTAATCTGCATGCTCTAGCATATCCAATATGAGATATAATTTGACATTTAACATTGCTACAGAAAGAATAATTTCTGGTTCAGCCATTTCATAAAACAAGCCTTGCGCATTACCACCCCCTCAAAAAAATACGTATAGAAGGAGCGAGCTATATCAGTAAAATAAAATGGGTGAGTTGTTGGAGAACCAATTCCTTTTTTTTTTAATAAATATGAATTTTCAGGTTAAATTACGTATAGCTTGATTAATCTTACAAATATTAAAACTAATAATTATATAAATTTTTAATAATTTTCAAGCTTATAAAATTTAAAATGATAACTTAAAAAAAACACATCTAGAATCTAATTCATTCAATTACACAACTTAAAATTACCGGTTGCTCTTTTGCCATACAATTGCATCAGTAAGATCAGTAATGATAACTTTGTTCATGATTGCTTAACCATTTGATATGTTGAATCGATTTCATAAATTTATATATAAAAATTTATAATTTTAAAATTTAACTTGGAATAAATTTTAATTTTAATTAAAAATATATATTATTTTCAGCTAAACCTAGTTGATTAGTAGGTTTTTAAATTTAACTTGATCTATATCATATCTTTTTTAAAAAGATAACAAAAATATTCTAATAAAAAAATAATTAAATGAAATTGACTCAACAATTTAAAAATTGATGAAATGAGGTAAATATGCTTGGTATTCAAACTTTAAAGAGTAGTTTAATTGATCAAATTTTAAATTTATTTTTTAATAGTTATGAGTTCAAGCTTTTTTAGAAAATAAAAATTACTGAATGTTTACATGTTCAAATTTCAAGGTTATAAAATTAGATAAGATATATATAATTTAAATTGAATATTTAATAATAAAAAAAAGTAAGCCTGGTACTCTCAAAGTTCTTATTCGGGTTTCTTTTGCTTGCTTTAGTTTTTTCTGTCATCTGTCTACATTTTCTTAAGAGAATCACTCATTTGTTTTGCATTGTTATTTTGTTGGAGTTGGAGAACAAGTTCTGAAACAATGTCATTATCATGGCAAAAACATTTGTGCGCTGCATTAAAATTATCAGTACCGGGCAAAATAAATGAGAGAGGGAAAGAGAAAATGTAAAGTTTCAAAAAACAAAAATTGCTGGGAGGCACGTGCAACCAGGGTTGTTTGGGTAAAGCTCAATCAGCACAATTTTATTTTTTTTATTTTTTGGTGGTATATCAAATAAAATCGCACTGGTCAGTAATGATCCGACATTTTGTTTAAATTTTATTTATACAATTATGTAGGTGCAAAAATAAAGTTTTTTTTTTAAGCTTTGGACTAAGACTCTTCCAACCATCACATAAACGCAATTTGCACCTTATAAGGTATATTTCCAAATCAGAACATAACACATATAAAACTGTATTTTTGCAAGCATATTAGTCACTTAATAGATTTTTCATTAAAACTTGGAAATCTTCCCATTAACAAAATTTTAATAGAGTCTTCCCATTAACAAAGCATAGCCCAAATGGCAAGACTTTCTAATTTTTTGGGTCAGGCCCAAATAACTAGCATCCCTATCCATTTTCAATGCCATCTCGAGCAGATCGTGTGTTAGATTTTTATCTCAACACAGAAGAAAAATATTTAATCATCTCTTTATACATAGTTTTTTCATAATTTCTCCATGTAAAACTATGAAATTTTGGAGTGATATGGCAGATGCACTTACACAGAATACACGCATATTTGTTATATACAATGGCCAAGTCACAATGAGAATCGCAAGAGAAAGCATTGACGAAAAAACAGGACTATTGCTAATTAGGAGCAAAAATAACAAATACTCGGCTAAAAAGGCAAATAGCATCTCAGCTTATTTATCTAGAGCACCTATATCCTAGCTGGTATGTTCTTTCCAAAATCTGGCTGGAAGTCCATGCAATGGCACAGGGAACGGGCCGTACTGAATCCCACTTTGAGATCTCACCACTTCCCACCTGCGAACCAAAATACAAAAAGCCCTCGTCAATGTCTTGTACAGAGATTGGGCAATATTTTTACAGGAAAAAGAGTTCCTGCGAATTGTTACAGATCTCCAGCGTCCTCTCTAATAATTTTTACATATGTTGATCTTACTGAGGTGATAAAACATTGAATCTAAGATCCAACGTATTGTTACAGGAAAACGAGTTCCTGCAAATTCAGTGGTTAGTGTTTGGACATCAATACCATGATACAGTTTTTTTTTAGGAAAGTCCCATTGGAGGGACCGACAGGAGGATATCTCATTTTCGTTAACCAAACAGCAGACAGACAACACATTCAATAAATAGTTGTCGTGATTTTCAACACCACCTGAACTTGGTGAGCAAATGGTGGATCATGATAAGCATCTCCAACTTGGCAAGTTCATTTCCTGGACAAGCATGGTGTCCACGTCCAAATGGCATAAATGTATTTGGTCTTGGTGCAACCTACACCAATGGGGGAGAGGGGAGGGGGGGGGGTATAGAATGAGGATTAGAAAAAACAGAACAGAAATTCCCTCGGCCACAAACCCAAAAACTACCCTGTTGTTTTGGCTAAGGGGGGTTGAAAAGGTGAATGGCTATTCATACCTCAAACCTTGTTGGATCAAATTTTTGAGGATCTCTAAAATATTCTGGATTGTGATGAGTATTCCTGAACAAAGGAATCACCTTCCAACCTTTGGGAATCAGGTACCCTGTCACAAAAATTTCAGGGTCAGTCACTTTCCTCAAATGTCAATTTCTATGATAAATTGAAAGAATCATTGCCAAATCCAATATAAGTTCAATTGACCACTCCGTGTAAGTAGGATTATTTACTAAATACATGTGTGTTGGTCTGCAGGGATAACATAGCGTTGGGACTCTGTGATTTCTACTGGGAGTTAGGTTCGAATCGCTGGAAAGATAGGATGGATTTAGGAATACCCTCAGTGTAGTCCAAAGCCCATTTGGCTTCCACTGAAAACATAGATATGAGTTATTCTTCCTCTTACCCTTGTACTCGACATCAGCCACTGCTTCTCTAAACGTGAAGGATATAATGCTTGCCATTCTCAAGCTCTCCAACACAACCTGGCAGTACGTAGTTTCTCGCTATTAGCCGTTTGTAACAACAAAATGGCATCCCTCTTGGCAAATAAGTAAAACTACAACGAAATTCATGCCTTGTGCTTGAAAGAGTTGTGAACACAGTTCTGTAACGTACCTTTTGAGTAAATGGCATGTTTCTCGTTTGACTCCAACTCAATGGCTGATTACTTTCATCATTCAATTTGCGAATTGCGTTCTGTTCGGCCTATAGGAGACAGCATCACCATTAATTATCATCAATTACTACATTTACTGTATTTTTATAAAGATAGAATTCATAACCAGAGACGAAACAGATGGGAGAAAGTCTTGTTCTAGACTCTGCTGATAATTTGGCTTGTTCTTAATCGTACCTTTACAGCCTCTAGAACTCTATGGTTGTCATGGAGATACTTGGCAATCCATGTCATGGCACTAGCTGTGGTGTCTTGAGCAGCAAAAAACACTCCAATAATGTTATCCGCTATTTGATCATCGGTAAGGAGTTCTCCTTTCTCATTTTTCGAGTTCAATAGACAACCGAAGAGATCCTTTACAAGCAATCTCTTCTCTTTTCTTTCACGAATAATATCACCAAGAATCTTGCCTAATCTCTTTCTTGCCTGAAGAACATCGATTTTTGAGAAATTATTTTAAGTCGGTGATTGTCAAAGGACGTGCAATTAATGAAACAGAATTGAACAAAATCTGATGTCAAATGTACTCTTGTTTGTTTTGCTTACCAGCACTGCCTTCCTGTAAGGAGTTCCTGGGAGGCTTGTTGGAAAGGAATTGTAGCCTTTATCCACTATTCTGTAGTTCCTTTTCATTTCTTCTCTGTATTGGGCTTCCAAACTGCCAAAAATTGCTAGTATTCCTACTTCAAAAGAAAACTGCGAAGGTAAAGGACAAATCCATGAGAACTATAATGATTCTCGAGTAGAAGTATAAAAATAATACAAACATAACCTTAAAAAGTGCTCAGTTGTATGGGCAAGGAATATAAAACTATACAAATATTCACTAAGAATAAATACTTAAAGAAAGCCACATAGGATATAGTCTGGGTGTAGCAAGATATCAAAGGTAGAAAAGTACCATTAAAAAATTGATCCAATCATTCGTGTGAAATATTGACTACAAATTGAACCACATCAACTGACCTTTTTCATTTCTTGAAAGGTGTTAAGGACATGTCCACCATCCCATGAATCTAAGGTAGAGGCTGCTGTGGTTGAAATATCAGCAACCAAATTTCGGATTGAATTCAGAGATAAGGAGCTCTGAACCAACTTCCTTAGACGAATATGGTAATCTCCTTGATGGAAAAAAAGAGCTGATGGACCAATCAAATGTTCCTTACTTTTGGGATATGTTGGCTTGAACAAATGAGGTTGAGTCACAAGCACAAACCGAGCTGCCTCTGGGCTAGCCAGTATAATACACGGGCAACCAAGAATGTGGGTCTTGAATATTTCTCCATACCTATATCACCAAGGACACCAAATGCAATTGCATGCACAAGAATGCTCATAAAGACTGAAGAGAACTACATATTGATCAGATGATCATCATGGAAAATATGGGAAATACTTAAAATGATAAACACACACACACACACACACACAAAACCACCTTTTTTGTTTGGATGCAAAGAAGACATTTGGGTCTTGAGAGTAGAGTTGAAGAGTCTCTCCAATGTAAGGCCAACCCATTGATCCTGGTGGAAGCTTAATTCCTTTACTGGGTTTTTTCTTTTTTCTTATCTTAATTATATAAGACACTACACTTATGAGAAAGATGAGAACGTAAGCCAGAATCCCTCCCATCTCTGTCCCAGTCTCTGTCTCTCTCCCCTTGTGAGTAGGTGTTAGCCACAACATAATACAAGGTAATGGAAATAGTTATTCTAGTCATGGAGAGAGCAGGAGAGAGCCGATTTATAGATGTGCAGAGGACATATAAAAGACAAAAACACTAATCTGGTGTCTCATTTTATTTATGGTAGTAATTTAATTCGAACAAATTCAGAGAACTTCTTATCACACGGGCAATTTTTACCATGGAGGATATTCACGTTCAAGCCTATCCAGATGTCTTACAATTTTCTTGTTAAGGCTTACTATCACCAGAATTCACCATTTGTTAGCCATCGATCACTCCTACTTAATTTTTTTATATTATCTTCAAAGGGAAAAAACAGAATCACAAATCTTTTTACTTTGTTGTTCCTAGCCCCCAAGTCCAGCTTGAAGAATTGCTAAACGAATAGCTGACTAGAACATCCCCTGACGAGGGCATTTTTCTCATCTAGATAGTGGTGTGGAGACAGGGGTCATTTGACAGTTTTACGTTCTTGTTTGTTTTAATCGCTACAGTTTTGAATCTTAGATTCTTAGTTTTCGCTATTTGTCTCCCATGTATATATGGACTGCACGTAACAGATTGAATTAGGCTTTTGTGGTAAGAAAACGTATCTTTTCGGTGATGGTGGCGGCAAGGGTTGGTAGAAATCCTACATTCATGGGAGAATGAAAGCTCTGTATCACAGAAGAAAGGAAAAAAAGAGGTATTGATGATCATATTTCAATTTGCAGCCTATCTTGGTTCTCAAAACAGTAATATGGATGTGTAATGTGTAAAGAAAATTATCTGCGCTTAAAATTTCCAAAAAACCCTGTTTATTGTGTTCTTGTGTGGGGAGCAACCCTGTTTTATGCATTCATGATTTTACTAGAAGCAGATAGACAGACAAACAGACAATGTTATTCCAAAATCGCCATACTGTGAAAGTCAAATCAAACAGATCAATGAAGATTCGATACAGCTTCGAAAATAGATTTTTCTAGAAATTCAAGACGAAAAAAAATGATTGGATGATCAACTTTTTTTATGGTAGTTTGGGCAGGTAATCTGACATGATGTCATGCCACCGTCCTATATAATCATTACAAGAAACAACTTGTGTCTTCCTTCTTGACTTCCATATAACTTCCCCTGCATGAGGGTCTCCAGTGAAAAATATTATATTAAAAAGTTAAATAATTTTTTTTAATAGTATAAATATAATTTTTTAATTATATGTATTTTAATAGTAAAAAGTTATTTAAAAAAACTAATTATATATTAATATATTTTATGTTAAATTAATTTTAATATAATTATATAACTAATTTAAATATATTTTATGTTTTAAACTTTTAGATATAGTTAAAAATCTGATAAGGATTTAGATAATAACAATTAAAAATTGAATAATAAAAGTTATAATAATAGTTTAAAATCAAATAACGATTGGAAATTAAATATTAACTTGTGTCTTCCTTCTTGACTTCCATATAACTTCCCCTGCATGAGGGTCTCCAGTGAAAAATATTATATTAAAAAGTTAAATAATTTTTTTTAATAGTATAAATATAATTTTTTAATTATATGTATTTTAATAGTAAAAAGTTATTTAAAAAAACTAATTATATTTTAATATATTTTATGTTAAATTAATTTTAATATAATTATATAACTAATTTAAATATATTTTATGTTTTAAAATTTTAGATATAGTTAAAAATCTGATAAGGATTTAGATAATAACAATTAAAAATTGAATAATAAAAGTTATAATAATAGTTTAAAATCAAACAATAACGATTGGAAATTAAATATTAATAGTTTAAAATTAAATAATAATAGTAAACTTTCATATGAATACTATAAATAAAAATATGAAATAATTGAGTGAGAAAATGAGTTATTTGCCAACGATTATAAAAATAATTATTGATCAACAATTATTTATTTTTATCTTTTTTATAAGAAAATATAAAAATAACTCTTCATGTAATAAATAGCTAAAATAATTATTTATTTGTGAGTGAGAAAATAAAAAAAAATAAAAGTTAAAAATATAATTTTTAATATTTAATTTTTTATTTAATTTTTTTGTTGGAGATGTTCTGATAAGCTGGAAGAAAACGCAATTTATTGAGAGAGAGAGAGAGAACCTAATATTCTTACAATAGCATTGAACAACTCACAGTCCTACATTAATCACAACTCTGTTTGATTTATCCTTTACATTGGTTGCGTTACCTTCGACTACAAAACGACACACAATCCCCTAATTCGGACCACCACGATTGGTTCTTCAATATGGCTGAGAACTGGCCGCATCAGTCCCTTGATTTGCCGAGAATGAAGCACTGATTCAACAGCGTCATGATAAGAACTTCACAAGGGATTAGGTGCATTCGTTTTGCCTCGGCAGCAGAGGGTTTGACTAAGCTGTCAAATGCTTATTTCCTAGCAAATGATTTAACCTGGACTGAGTGCGCAAAACCTAGACTTCTTTTTTTTTTTTTTCATGGTTCTTAAAAGTAAAAACTTAACTACTAGATATTGCTCAATCATTTCATCTTGCTATATCATAAACGTCGTTAACTTTTATATCATACTATCATTAATAAATAATACTCTAATGGCTATGAATTATAAATTAATTTAACTTTTCATTAAGTTTTTAGCAAAAACTATGGTTGACTAAAATTAATTAGAACTCAACTAATTATCCATTATTTCTTCAATCTAGACTTATTCAACTAAAAGTAATATATTTTAATTATTATCAATTCCATATAGAATCATTTTTTTTCAAATCTTCAACTTAACCATAAAATTAATTAAAAAAATTAATATCCATTAAATTATTCATCATTTCTTCAATTCTAACACACTTGAATTGCAAAATCACACTTAGTTTTATCAATTAACAAATTAAGTCCATTTCTCTCAAATTCTAAGCAAACTTTAAAATACAAATTATATATTAATATAATAAAATTATTATTATAAATCAAGTAAAACACGTAAATATACATGCACACTATAAAAGTATGCAAACAAATAAAAAAACAGGTTTTGGTATTTGATGGAGTGAAGCTTGATAAGAAATTTAAAAAAAGAAAGTTGTTTCGGTGGCTGGATTTTAATTGGGGTTGGGGAAGGAACTTGGTTAGGGTTTGAATTGAAATCAAAGAAAAGAGGAAGAAGACAGTGTTTTAATTCCTTTTAAAATCGTTGACTAAAATTCTATATGTCAGAAATGTTGAGGAAATTTATCTTTTATTTATTTTTATCTAATTTCCATTTCCATCATAAATCAAATTTTATGTTATAATTTTCAGTAATAAATAATAATAGAATATTTTTTTGTTGATATTTTCATTATTTCTTTTCAATTTTCTGCAATGGATTTTATGCGATACATGATGCATAAAATAGTTATAAATTTCATTTCTTAGGATTTTAATAATAATTTGACAAGCAAACTTGGTCATCAATATATATTTTATTTGTTAGTAAATAGGTTTTCTTCCTCCTCGAGGATTAAAATTCTATAGGAAGCCGCAAAACTGATGTGGCAATTAAGATAAAATATTTTATGACACCATTGCATCAAATAACAAAAAAACATTTTTTTATATAAATTTTCTGTTCGTTTAGATATTTCCTTTACGTATATTAGTTTTTGTATAACATTGATGAAATAATTGATCAATAAAAGCTTTAAGCTATTGGATGCGTGGCAAAAATAAACCTTTACGCTGTGTACAAATAACCATAGACAAGTAAGAAGGAAAATATGTAAAAGGCTTGATAGAAAAAAAGAAAAGAAGTAAAAATGTGAATTCCTTTTTTAAAAAAAAAATCTCTTACTTAAGTTGCATGAATGTAAAAATAAAAAATAAAACTATCAATGTCAGCACCCTTATTAATTAACATTAACCTTTTTTTATGATAAGGTACATTAAAAACATACAGTTTGAATGCATTGACACTTCACTACTTGATTTTTTAAAATATTTTCTATTTATAAATATATTTTCTTACGAATATATTAAAACTCCTTATTCTAGAAGGTATTTTAGTTTTAAATCAGAGTAGCATTTTAACACACACACACACACACACACACACACACACACACACACATATATATATTACGAAATGTTGTGGCGAGCAAGTTAGTGACTAATTTACCTGTTGTTCTTAAATTATGTTGTCATTTTTCTTGACTAAACCCATCGTGTTTTGAACAATTAATTAAAAAAATATCTTCCTGTTATCAATTTGGTCAATTTAGTGTATGTATTTTCAATTTTCATTAGATTTTTTAAATTTAAAAATTTATCTAAACTAACTGAGCACTCTTTTTTACCATCAGAGTAGTTATTATTATTATTAAATTTACTTTCATTTATGTTAATATCATTACCCATCTTATCCTTTTCCTTGAGTAATTTTTTTTCGATTTAAATGAATTGTATTAATTTGATTAAAATTAAAAAACAGATATTTAATTAATTAAATTGATAATAAAGTATGTTTTTTCATGAATTGATGAAAGCATTATGGAATGGAAATAATGGGTTGAGCCATCTTTCTAATTACCGATTCCATATTTAGTAGTTGATGCCACGTATTTTTTAATGCACGATTAAAGAAGATTTATTATGATGCAAAAACGAGACTCATTTCTAATACTAGATTGGAAATATAAAAATATTTTTTGCAACTTATGCTAGATTCACTACTCTTTCAAGTTTTTCTTTTCAAAATAAGACAATCAACAAAAAAAATAAAAATAAAAAGGAATCAAAATAATAAAAACAAGATTTTATATATATATATATAAGATAAATAAAATGAAATTTTTGTATTATATCCAAAAGAAAAGAAAGAAAAATCTATCGGAGTTACATTGTTGATTCACTGTTAACATATACTCTACCACTGATAAAATTTTAGTATGCTGCTCTTAACACCATTATTAAAAGGTAATATTTAAATGTTAGAGTAGTTTAAATGCACTACCTAAAAAATACTGATTTCTCCCGCTCGCTAATTATCATTTTAAAATATATTTTAAATATGTTAAACTGCATGATTTTTCTATGTATATT